GACTGTAAGGTCCTCAGGTCCCGTGGCTGCAAAACTAGCCCCAATCATCTGCTGGGCTTGATGGTATAAGGCAATGGTTCCCAACCCTGGTCCTTGAGGAACACCATCCTGCATCTTTTAGTTGTTTCTCTGCTCCAACACACCCGATTCAGTGGTTTAATTACTTCCTTAAGTTTGGCAGAAGCCTCTTAATCACTCTTTAATTCAAATCAGGTGTGTTGAAGCGGAGGAAAACTAAAACATGCAGGATGGTGTTCCTCAGGGACCACGGTTGGGAACCCCTGGATGTACTGATATTCTTTTTTTAACCAAACTTGGTGCTATGCATTATGGGTAAACATCTCTACTTTGGTCTCATCTGCCCAGAAGTGTTTAGGTTCATTCAGAAGAAGCTTTACCAACTGACTTTGTGCTGCTGAGTTCTTTTTATAGAGAAGAGGCTTCATCTTTCCCAACAAGCCATGTTTATTCAGTCTTTTTCTTATTGCCATGTCATGAACTTTAACCTTTAACCAGTTCACGGAATCCTGGAGAGTCTGGGATGGAGGCCTTGGAGTTTTTACAGTTTCTCTGAACATTGTATGGTCTGACTTTGGGGTGAATATGCTCAAATGTCCCACTCCTGGGGAGATGTTTTGCAAAATTTTCCACTTGCAGATAAGCATTGAACTTCAAAAGTCTTTTTTAACCCTTCTAGCAATAGTTTCTTCTCTAAAGTCATTGCTGATTTCTTTCCACCTCGGCACAGTCTTAACACGCACCTCTATGCTTCAGAGCAGCAAACTGCCACAGCTGGATTTGACAGAGGTGCTCTCACTGACGATGAGCAGTGAATCAGGCTCAGCAGCTCCTGGCTGATACTTTCACTCGTGTGGAAGTAGCAAATGTGGACTCGGTTTTCAAATCGGCCTGTCACAATTACACATTTTGCTGGGCGATTAATTGTCTCAGAATTTATTGCGATAAACGATAATGTTTGAAATTTAACAATAATTAGTAATTGTCAAATTTTAGAATAAATGTTGATTTGTTTTGAGTGCAGTACCTTTTTTCGACCACTGAATAGCAGTATAAGACTGAACCGAAGGCTGGATAGTGGAGTAGCTTGTCTCTTTAAGAAAAATGGGAGGGAGGGCCCTTGACATGATATGGGCTGACATGTTGATATGGCGGACGCTCGGTGTGATTTGAGCTCTTTAGCATAGCATTTTTCACACATAGCTTTTAATGAAAAAAATCAGTAAACAGCTTTTTTTTGCGGAGAAAAACAACTTTTTACACAAGGGCACGGGTTTCAACTGTGAATTTTGGAGCTTCGACAAAACAGAGGTTTTTTCCCGAGGTCCAGCTTGTTAGCTTAGCTCGTAGCTTAGCTTCTCATTTTAGCTTCTTTTAACAATCCATAAATATTTGGATGGTTAAAAAAGATTTTAAAGAGAAAGGGAGGGGTCAGTGAGGTGCACCGGAGATCAGCCTTTTGTCATCCAGTGTCTTCAGTAGAAAGAGACATGAAGAAACAATAAAGCCGATATGAAAATGAGTTTGATTATTTTCATTTATCATGCGATAAAATAATTTATTGTTTATCACGACAGGCCTATTTTTAAACACAACTTTCACATTTAGGCGTTGTTTTTGTTACTAACAGGAAATATGTTGTGTGTTTTTGTACACTTGAGGTTATATTTAAATTATTTTACATCTTAATAAAGTGCAGATTATTTTGAATTGTATTTTATTATGCTTTGGTATGTAAAACTCAAAAATTGAAAACTGTTTAATGGCTATAAAAGCTAGCAGAACCACCTTTATTAGCCACTTGTATGTAACTCCAACTGTGAAGAAACGCTAGCGGCTACTCGGATCAGAAACTAAACAGAAAGGTGCGTTTCACCAGACAAAAAGTTTTAAAACTCAGTCTTCACAGTAGTTTGAGCAAATGATGTATTAAGCTTTTTAACACGGTGTCACTCTACCAGATTTTTTATTTTGTTTTTTTAAACGACGTCAATTTCTCAATTAAACCACGTCTGTGTTGGTGCATGTCCTCGCAGACCACTGAGCAGCTGACTCATAATGTTGTGGGCATAGTCCCAAAAACAACAGACCTGTAAAAAATTAAAATGAGTGCTGACAGAAGCAAAGATGAGCAGTGGCAGCTCCTGAGCAACAATATTAGTGGAGCGGACATTAATTTCCTTAACATTTTTACAAATTATGTTATATTTTCTGTGTGTATGCGTGTGCGGGGGGAGGGTTATTTATTACTTAATATTTAATTTATTGTCGTTTTATGTGTTTTTCTACAAAGTATTAGCCTTTTTTTCTCCCTCCCGCGGGTCGAGGTTGTGTCTTGTGAAAAACAGTCTGGTCTAATAAATCAGAGAAACAGACACCTCTCACACCCAGCAGACAGATGCAGAGCTTTCTGCACTGGATTCTGAATTGGATTTGACGTAATAATTCTGAAATAATAATCCAGATCAACAGTTAAATGAGAGGAAAAAAGTTCAGTGAAGTAACTAAAATAATATAAAAGTGAAAGTGGTGAGACAATCGATAATCACAAAATCAAGTAGTGGGGATCAAACCACAAACACCCAGTTACAAGACCACTGCTTCAATCACTGACCCTCCACAACTACACACACAAACCATGGAATTGTTTAAATAAGGTCCCACCATGTTGGTGGGCAATACCTATTCTTTGACTTTCCTCCGTTCTTCTCAGTTTTCTGTTCTGGTCCCCTCTGTCTGCTTCAAATAGATCTAAAAACAGAATATCTACACTGTTGGTCTCAGCAGGTTTCACTACAGCTATTCCTATTCATGTCAGGTCTAATTGGAGGTTGAATCAATGCATTAAAACCAGCCGAATGTGTCCACAGGACAGAAAATCAGACGCCCCAAATGAAAATTTTGGACCTGCTGGTTTGGATCACTGGCCGCAGGTTCAAATCTGTTTGATGAGCGCAGGTCATTGAATGATACTGCCACATAAAGTTAGATTGGGACCAAGATGGTGTAGAGGTAGGACAGCCGACTTGGGTCCAGAAAGTCGCAGGATCAACTCCCCGCCATACCCACATGTCGTGGTGTCCTTGAGCAAGACACCCAATCCCCAATTGCTCCCCGGGCACCCATATTCAGTAGCTGCCCACTGCTCCACCTGGATGTATCCCACGTGTGCTGGGATAAATGCAGAAAACTAATTTTGTCATGGAACATACAATGATGACACATAGCACTTGGCTGATTGGTAACTCTAACATTGTCCCTAGGTGTGGGTGAGAGAGTGAATGGTTGTTTGTCTCTGTGTCCCTGTGATGGACTTGCGACCTGTCCAGGGTGTACCCTGCCCCTCGCACAATGATTGTCGGACATGGGCACCGGCGACCCCCCATGACCCAGGATGGAAGATGCGGGTAAAAGATAATGAATGGATGGATGGATGGATGGATGGATGGATGGAAGAAACCAAGGAAGAATCACTAAAACCTTTGTAAATTCCTCTTAAAATTGTCATAATTGTTGAAAAATAAACAGAACATAACAATGCACAGCAAGCTCAGTAAATAAGTAATTTACTTTATTTATTAGGAGGAAGTACATTGTTGGGCAATTGTTTTTTTGAGGGGAGCGGAGCACCACCTACCACAATGGACAAGTAGTCACTGAAGATGCAGCGTAATAATTCTAAAATTAGAAACATCTTGTGAAATGAAGCAGAAAAACTGGTCCATGCATTTGTCACGTCTAGACTGGACTATTGCAATGGTTTATTATCTGGGTGTCCAAATACTTCTTTAAAACATCTTCAGTTGATCCAAAATGCTGCTGCCACTCTTAACTGGAGTTAGTGGGATCATATCTCTCCAGTTTTAGCTTCTCTCCATTGGCTCCCTGTCAAGTCCAAAATAAAATTCAAAATCTTACTTCTAACCTACAAAGCCCTCAACAACCTAGCTCCATCTTATATTCCAGATCTTATTGTTTATTGTTTTCTTAACAGAGCACTTTGCTCTCAGACTGCAGGTTTACTTACGGTTCCTAGAGTTTCCAAAAGCAGAATTGGGGAAGATCTTTCAGTTATCAGGCTCCTCTCTTGTGGAACCAACTTCCAGTTTCTGTCAGTGAGGCCGACACATTGTCCAGTTTGAAGACTGGGATTAAGACTTTCCTTTATGGTAAATCCTATAGTTAGGGTTGGCTTGTCGTGCTGCCATAGGCTTAAACTACTAGAGGACAAATTGACCCCATTTCTTAAAATGAATTGTTACAAATTAATAGTTTTAATTTGATATTATTTCTATCTGAACATGTGATTCTTGACCTGCCATTGTGTATCTGTTCCTCCTTCCTGTTCTTCTCAAACCCAGCTGGTTGAAGCAGATGGCCGCTTGTCCTGAGCCTGGTTCTGCTAAAGGTTTCTTCCTCATGAGGGAGTTTTTCCTTTGCACTGTCGCCTTCACGCTTGCTCAAGATGAGAGTTCTGTGATGGAGTTAAATTCGAAGCAGTCTGCTCCTCAGATAAATAAAGTTAAATTATTATTTATATGAATGTTTCTGTTCAGTGTCCTGATACGACTTCTGTTATGACTTGGTGCTCTATGAACTGAATTGAAGATGAGAATTCTTCCTTGGGAACTACTTGTATGAACTGGATTCTACTGTATATAGATACTGTATATTGAGACTGCTGGGTAAAAAGTAGAACGTCTGAACAGATCTGTTTGATCAGTTCCAAAATGAGCCCAAATCATAAACACTCCACCACCGTGTCTGACTGTTTGTGTGACATGTTTGTGTTAATACTTCCTGATCTCTTTGCAGGGCAGCTCTTGTCCAAACTTAGTTTTCATTTTGAGGAAAACATTTTGTCTGTGCTTCACTGAACAGTTGTTCTTTTTTGAATGAACTTTATAACTGATGTTTGAGCAGTACGAGTCAGGATGCAAATAAGAGTTTTAACAAAGTGTTTTTTACTGGTTTGTCTGCAGTCTGTTCGCGGGCAGCGCACCACGGATGGCCTTCATCAGCGTGGGCGGTTTCATCTTCCTAGGAACCTATGAGAAGGTCCGGCGCACTTTGCTCTAGCAGGACGTCATGGCAGGTGGTTTGGACCTCTGATCTCTTTGAAGGGCTGCAGGGAAGACCTCTGAAGACGTGTCTCCAATGTTCCCTGCAGGACGGGGGGCTGCGTCTTCATGCAGCCGGGCCATGAGAAACAGGGAAGATTTGAATGGAGCGGACTACATTACCCAGAGTGCAACAGACTTCTGTAGCAGCACTTGTTAAAATCAATCTCACGGTTTTATTTTGAGAGTAAACGAGTTTTAGTAATGAAACATCTCTGACGTACTTTAAGGTATGTTAACCTTTGGGCTCCACTCTTACATTTCATATGTGTTTTTTGTATTTTTCGCTCCATTAAGCCAAGACACCTGTGTCTACGAGCCTCCAGGGAGATCCAGAAAAATGTCATCATTGTTACATTCCCACCGAGCAGAACTGACCTCATCCATCTTTGTCCCCTCCGATAATGGAGGATTTAGTTGAATTATTAACACATCTGCAGGTTGATCTTCAGGCTCAGCTGTTCTGCACAAGCTCAGGGGCTTCCAGCCACGACTTTTTATTTTTCAGAAAGTTGAAAAGCTTATCTCATTCTGCATCTAAAACGGTTGTTTTCCTCTTTTATGCTTTGTGTATTGTGTTGAAATACCAGAGCTGGATTTTCACAGTTGATGCAGCAGGGATTGCTTTAATGGGCTTTTGGTTTAAAAACGTTAAAATATTGAGCTGTCAGATCTTAAAAATGCAACTTTCCCAGAAATAAAAAAGAAAAAGACACAAGGTTTTCAGCCGACAGTAAGAGTATGTTAATAATTTCATCCATCCATCCATTATCTTTACCCGCTTATTCCATTTTGGGTCACGGGGGTCGCTGGTGCCCATGTCCAGCAATCACTGTGCGAGGGGCGGGGTACACCCTGGACAGGTCGCAAGTCCATCACAGGGACACATAGAGACAAACGAGACAAACAACCATTCACTCTCTCACTCACACCTAGGGACAATTTAGAGTTACCAATCAGCCTAACATACATGTTTTTGGTCTGTGGGAGGAAACCGGAGCACCCGGAGAAAACCCACGCATGCACGGAGAAAACATGCAAACTCTACCCAGAAAGGCCCCTGGACCGGGGTTTGAACCAGGGACCTGCTCGCTGAGAGGCAGCAGCTCTACCAGTTGTGCCACCGTGCTGCCCATGTTAATAATTTGGTACATTTTATTCAATATGTGTCATAAAAAAATGTTTGACGTTCGTATGTGTTAAACTTGAGCACTAATGCAGACATCTTTGTTTAGGCAGAGGCTGTTATGCATTGCTTTTTGTTTTTTTTTTACTTTTTCAGTTTTTAAACCAGTTGTTAATTGTATTATTTAAATTAGGTTATAAATTTATGCCAAAGGATGGATGCATTAAAGGAGCCACTATCAACAAATTTAAGATGGAAAATGTGCTTTTTGTGTTTAACCAAGCAGATTCTGTTAGAGGTCCAAAACTCATTTATCACAGGGGATCCATACCCTGAAGCCCTGCGATCAGTGAAACACTGCCAAGGAGGAACCCAGACCAGTGGTCATTCCGTATGTTGAGGGAGTATCAGAGAAACTGAGACGTTTATTTTCTAAACATAACGTCCCAGTGGCTTTTAAACCCCAAAATACATTATGACAAAGACTGGCTCATCCCAAAGATCCAGTCCCCCGGCACAAACAGAGTAATGTTGTGTATGCTGTTCAGTGTCAGGAGGGCTGTGATCAGTCTTACATCGGGGAAACAAAACAGCCACTGGCCAAAAGGATGGACCAGCACAGAAGATCAACATCATCAGGCCAGGACTCTGCAGTCTACACTCATCTCCAGGCCAGCGGTCACTCTTTCAGGGATGAAGATGTTCACATCCTGGACAGAGAGGAACGATGGTTTGAGACAAGAGTAAAGGAGGCCATCTTTGTGAAAAGAAATCGTCCATCATTAAACAGGGGTGGAGGCCTCCGGGTTCAACTGTCCCCCTCTTACAATGCTGTGATTGCTAGTATCACTCAGCCCTCTGTGAATAGTAAACAGCCATCAGTGTGCTAATGATCCATTGTTAGGCTGATGGTCCTTCTTGAGCATGTGATCAGCTGGTTTTGGTTGTCAGCAGCAAAACTGGTTGATCCACTCTGAGAAGGTGCTATTTAAGAGACTGAGCTGAATACAGCACCTCAGACTGAGGAAGTCTCTCGGATGAGAGACGAAACGTTTCTACATTTTTTTTGCTTCGTTTTGTTTTTTGGTTTTTTTGAATGTCCAGAGGACCAGATTGAACTTTTTTGGACTGCCAAGTAGAAATAGTAAAAGTAGTAGTTTAGTATA